GATATGATATGATATGTTATGACATTGATGTGATGTGATATGATATTGATATTATAACCTGATATGATATAATATGATATGAGATTAATAACCTATGAGGTGATGATTAGATGATGATGTTGTGAGGGTGAAGTAGGAGAAAGTTAGTAAAGAATATGAAGTAAGGAAGGTGAAGTAGGATAAAGAGAGTCAGGAAGAGAGAGTGGGGAAGATGAAGTAAGAGAAAGAGAGTAAGGAAGAGAGAGTGGGGAAGATGAAGTAAGAGAAAGAGATTAAGGAAGATGAAATAGGCAGCAGTGCTTAAGGAAAAACCCTTCGCAGGTGCTTTCGGGAACTATTTATGAAATAGTCTATTTGTATAAATAACCTAAAGTGCTTACCAAAATGCCTTTAAAAACGCCTACAAACTGTCATTGTTTTCCAATAGTTGTATACAAAACAATGCCTCTGTTCAAGGTATGTACCTGGAAATGTGTGTTTCTCACAATATGTAACCTTCACTATCTCTCCACTATATCTCTCCAATATATCTCTTCAATATCTCTTTCAATGTGAATTTCACTGTGTGTCTCCAATCTTCCTTTAAACAGATCATTCAACCATCCCCCCTCACCGCTCGTGTTTTCACACACCAGTCCACATAATGGATTGGGCAATCCTCCATTTGGCCATCATCTTAAAGGCAACTTCTTCTGGCCGATTGCCAGCCACAGAGCTTTTTGCCAATCTTTGGCAAACCCTCATGTAATCCTCCCCCTGGAAGCACCAGCATAGCCTGGGTGAAACTTGATGGCAAGACAATGCACTGTGCATTAAATAGTGCAGCTTGCTAGTCATATTGAACAGTGGGACATCTGCATCTTCAAAATGTTGGTTCAGGAGGTGTGCAATGTGGGCCATCTTGAAGACATGTTCCTTGAAGTCACTGGCATCTTGGGCGCCTAAGATGGAAAAACTGTGATGTATGCTGCTGTCTGTGGGTTTCAACAAACAAAAGCTACTATGGAACCTAAATCTAAAAATTGAACCATATTATGAAATAAGCTAAGAATCTAAATGCCATTTGCCCCTGGTTCTCTTCAACCAAATTCTCAACCTTAAAGTTGAGTTTCAAGTACAGCATGACCATTTTGTGCATATAGACCTGGGGGTTGTAGAATTCATACCAGCAATCCATCAAAGCATGGGACAAAGATCTGATCTGGGCACCCTTTCCTTTCAACTTGATGCCATTCTTGTTGGTAAACATGGTCATGGTTGCAAAAGATCCATATCTGTCCCTTGTTTGGTGATTTCTGTACCACGCTTGAAGCCAAGACCAGAACCTCTTCAGATTCCCTTGTGGAGAAGCTTCTGGGAGAAGGTAGTGCACCAACAGATAAATGACAGACCCCAGGCAATATTGATCATGGCCTAGATATTTGGCATGAAGCCAATCACAATGGACAGCTGCTGCTGAAAGTCCATTCACCTCAAACAAACAGCTCTTTGACCTGCCATTCCAATGCTTCCATTCATGAGGCCTCCAGGCCAGGGAAGTCCACTCTGCATCAACTTTGAAATTCTGCCATTCATTCTGACCAACCTTGCAAATAGCACAAGGGTTGCTGATTTTTTGCCAGTGTGGCAAATTCAAAGTTTTGTTGAGATAATCTAGGTCTCCGATCAGAGCACAAATGACAGCAAAGAAGCCATTTGCCAGGGGAAGGCCGCCCCTTCTTGCTTTCTCTGAGCCTGCAGGGTAGGCTCTCCCATTCCAATCTGCTTTTGGCCAAATGCCCAGTTGGAGGTGGTTGAAGGACCAAGCCAGCACTGTGAAGATAGAATCTAAAGTTCCATCTGACCCCTCTTTCAGAAGCTTCTCAAATGCCTTGGGACACAGCAAGTTCTGCTAGTAGATTTTAAAGGCCCCTTGAGCAAATCAAAACAAAAGTGCTTTGCCAAAGTGCTGCAAACATCCAATAGCAATTCTCTCTGGAACTCCCTTGGTTGAGCAACCCACTCCAATTCATCACCAGCATAGACTTGGACCAAACTTTGCCAATACCAGTAACTGGCATGCAGTCACCATGTACTTTGATTGGTACTCCTCAAGGTGCAGAATTGCCAAAGCAAATGTGGTGGGCAATGCCTAATTTTATCATCTCTTCACTACCCAATATACTCTCCAATGTATCCTCTCCAAATATCACCTCCCCACTATCAAAAGCGATGTTAAGGACCAGTGGCCTCTTGTCTGGAGCAAAGGCATAGTCAAAGCTGGATGCCCTTCCATTGCCAGGTGTGAAGAAAAATTTGCCCACCACCTTGTCAACCCTTCCTCCCCACCAGGCATGAAGTGTTGCTTGAAGGTCTCAGGGTGCTTGGTGAACAAAGCATGGAACAGCTCATGGGGCAACTGCAGGTCTTGCAGGTACAAGCCCTTCTTCCTGTGCTGACTTACAATGCCAGTTGGCTTGGTACTTCTATGCGAAGCCAACTAAATCAAAAGTTCATTGGAAATAAGAAACACCAAGCTTCATAGGAACTTTGATTTGCAAGCCTGGTGGCAATGTGCACTTGGGCTGAAGCAGCCTCACCATATCTCTATGGCAGTTGTTAGAATGCCTGCCATGACTGCCAATGGCTGCCAAATGTGACAAGCTTTGTGGGCCTTCATGCCCCAAAGCAGAAAAATCTGCCATTGCAAGGCTTGCAAGTCTTTGCACCTGCTGAGGGCTGAGAAAGCCCTCTGACCATTGTTGGGCAAGGTAATCACTCAAGGCAGAGGTGCCAAAGCTAAATTCAGAAGCAGGTGTTGCCCCCAATCTTTGTTGGACGCCACCTTGTCTTTTCCTTTTGTTAGGCATAGCAATGGGCTACTCCAACACAGGCATCCCTTTGGGCAGTGCCTCTTGAACAGAACATGATTTGTCAAAAGCAAATACCTTGACATGGAAAACAATTGGAACAATGAGCACCTTCACAATGAATTGTGCTTCCTACATGTAAGCTTTCAATGCAAGACTCCCCAATAATCTTCCATGGGCTCTTTGAGTAATACACCTCTCAAATTCCAACCCATGAGCTCTCTCAACATCATAACTCCCACAATGAATTGTGCTTCCTACATTTAAGCTTTCAATTCAAGACTCTCCAGTAATCTTCCATGAGCTCTTTGAATAGTACACCTCTCAAATGCAAAACCTTCCAACCCATGAGCTCACTCAACAATATAACTCTCAAATACTATACCCTCCAAATCCCTCCAATACATGTTTGCAGTGTGCTTTTCTGTGGCTGTGTTGTGCTGTGTGTTTGGAAAACTCATGCTCTTTGAGCTGGATGCCTGTAGCATCTAAACTATTCGCCTTGCTTTCAACACGCCCTTGACCTCTTCAAACATCTCAAAGGCCTCTGAAGTTGTTTTGGCAAGCCCTGCAAGGTACTCATCCACATGTGCCTTTGTTGGTGGGCCATTGGGCAACTCCTGGCAGACTCAGGCAATGCATCATATACCCTCCCAACAAAATGCAGCCAACAAAATACATACAACCTCAACAAAATGCAACAAATGGCTCCTTCCAAATCAAAATGTTCTGCAGGGAGTTGGTGTTGTTGGTGATCATGCCATAGGCCTCTTTGAACTTGATCTTCAGATCTGGCTGGTCCTGAACCTTGGTCATGTACTTGGAAGCTTCTTTCAGCAACTTTTGCTGGCATTCCTTTGCTTCAGCTAGTGTCTTCTCAACCAAGGCCCATTTCAGCTCACATTCAGGAGCTGGCAATGCCAGCTGTGCTTTCTCTTTTGAGTGGCCTGACCCTGCCTCCAAGCTGAACTGCTTCCAATTGAAGCCACCCATGCCAATCCTCATGGCCTCATAGCCCTTGGCTGAAAGCTTGAATTTGCCAGCTGCAAGGTTGGCGCCTGTCTCTGAAGACTTGCTTTTCCCCTGTGACACTTGCTCAAAAGAATACATGATCTTGCCATTCTTTCCTTTCACTTCACTAATGTCACCATCCTCCAAGGCAGCCCTGAAGGCTTGTTCATTGCCATTGAAATAGCGATGAATCATGATAGCCCTGGGGTAGGATTTCTCTTTCTCCTGTGCGAAGAATGTCTCTCTGTGGCGCATGAAGGCTTGAAACTCTGGTTTATCTTGGCACAGCATCCAATTGCCTGTGCTGCTCTTCTTGAACATTTTGCTCAACATCTTTGTCTTGAGCTGCCTGCTTTCCAAGTTATCATAAACCTGAAGTATTGAAGCTGGAATCTTTCCATCTTTCCTGAGCTTAGCAAACTTGGCTCCAATGTACTTGTTTCTCTTTTCATCATCTGCCTCCACACAAGGGTCAGATTCCTTTTCCTCTTCTTCACCACCTTCCTCTTGGGGAACCATCTCCTCAGGCATGCCTTCTTTCCATTTCTGCAGCATGCTGGCCAAAGGTGCCTTGCTTCCACCGGTCTTGCTGTTGGCAGGCTTTGGCTTGAGTTTGGCAGTAGCAGGCTTCTTGGCAAGTGCCTTGGGTGTACCCTTTGGTCTTGCCTTTGCCTTGTTTTTGGCAATGGCTTTCATCACTGCCTTTGGCTTTGCCTTTGGCTTTGCCTTGGCAGAAGACTTCATTGGGGAAGCTTTTCCCTTTGCAGTTGTAGCCAACTTCTTGGCAACAACTGCTTTTGCAAGGGCAAGAACTCTGTTGTTTGCCTTACCCTTAGCCTTTGCTTTTGGTGAAGGCTTTACTTCAGCCTCATCTTTGGTGTCACCACCCTTTGGGCTGGACTCTGGTGGAGCAATAGGTGCTACATCACTAGGTGCTGCACATCCATTGCCACCTCCATCAGGTTCATCAGCAGCTGGCCTCTTGGCAGGCATAGCTGGAAGTGCCTGCTGTTGAGGTGAGCCAGGCAAATACCTACTGGTGAGTCTATGTTGTGGTGTCTCAAAACCAAACATCTAGGACACCATTTGTCAAGACTTGGGCCAAAAATCAACGCAAACATGTTGACTGTTTTTGTCATGTTTCTGTCAACCTCTTAAAATATAATTTCTTTACTCTCCAGTGCAAATTCACCACTCCAACGCATACTCTCCAATACTCTCCAATGTTCAAACCTTTTGACTCTATCATATTTATGGAACCATCTCTTCACTCTCCAATGTATACCCTCCACTCCAATGTATACTCTCCAATGTCCTCTCTCAGTAGTATGCTCTCCAATGTAGCTTCTCCAAGTGTATTTAAGGTGCACCATATACACTGAATGCCAACCATGGACCAATGTAACAAAATAGGCATTCCTGTGGAGAAACAATACGTATATGAAAAGTGTTTACACTATTTAAATGATGAAAAGGATGCTATCAACAGACATTATTTCAAAAAATAGAGTGAACAACCCACCAAAACAAACAGAATGAAAGCAATATGTCTCAAAAAGCTTTCAACATAAATCAAAAATCTTAAGACATAGGTCAAGAAAATAGTTGTTTAAAGTCATTTTGTAAAGAATCTGTCAGCAGTTTGTAAGCACTTTGTATGTAGTTTCAAAACTGCTGACAAACTGCTCAGCACTTTGTGAGCAGTTTGGAAACTGCTCACAAAGTACTCAGAAACTGCCTACAAACTGCTTACAAACAGCTGATGAAAATATATAGTTTTGCTTCAAAATATGTGGAAAATGCATAACATTATGTTGTCTCTTGAACATATTTGGTTAGTTAAAACTCCAAATGTGGCTCTCCAATAGCTCTCTCAATATAATCACTCCAATAAAAGGCATCTGTGACACCAAGCGCTCAAGGAAACCAATTCGCTTTTTTTCCCACACCAAGCATGTATCCTGGCAGTCATCTCAAGGCCCTGGACATAATGTCATTCTTGGTCATTTCAATGATCTCCATGTCTTCCCATTTCTTTTCTTGTTTTCTTCGCTTTTTAGCTTGTTGTTTTTCTCGGTGTCTGTTCCAGGCAGCTGTGTCTTCTTCAGTCCATTCCTCTTGATGCTGCTCTGCTGTCCTCCAATGAGAGGTTGCATGTGCTCACTGTTATACAAACAGATGCACTGTGGTAAGCTGATACAAACCTGTCCTGTGGTCTTCTGTTTGCTGCCTCAAATGTCCCACCATTGCACATGTTTCCAATTCTACTGCGCCAAACCCATCCCCAAGGAGGAGACACAGAGCTTGAAGCTGCAGTTGTAGATTCTGGCCTGCCACAAAATGGATTGCAATTTGCATTGAACATATTGGGCTTGTGAGCCAACCTTTCTAATGCAGGATGGAATGCAATTGCACACCCACCACTTGTTTCTTAGAGGCCTTCCACCAGAAAGGCTTCCAGCATCTTGTTGAGGAATCACCGGCCTCATGAAAAGCAATCAAGACACACTACCACATTCAATCAATCTTTGGACAAAGCACCTTGGACTTGTACAACACATGACAGCTGCAACAGGAAGCCCCACCAACTGAGCACCAAACCTTCCACCACCAGCCAAAAGCTCAGCCAATGCATTTCTGGGTGGAGGGTCTGTCCTCCACATAGATTGAATCAAAGTCTGCAGCAGTGGCTGTGGCAAAACAAAGTGACCATGCTTACAGGCAGTGCCTGGCTTCAGTTTCTGGGCACCCATCACTCCTGCCATGGAAGCATGACACTAGCAAAAAATTCTTGCAGCTGTAGTCCTGTCACCAGTAGCAGGTGCTTGAGGTGGCCCCTGCCTGCCAAATGTTCTGACTTTAATAACCATCACACAAACAATGTGACCTTGCATACAAAAAGTGCCTGGTCTTTGGTGGTGGGGGCACAACTTTAGCCGTCCTGCCATGTAATGCAGCAAAATTAACTCATACAGGTGCATTGTGAAATCAGATTGGCCTGGGCTCCATCTTTGCAGAGGCCGCTATGAACCTGGGCACATTGTTGTATCAAAAACACTAGTAGGAATTGTTGGATTTCCTTTCTGTCCAATATTATCTCTCAAATATGATTTTCTCCAATATTATCTCTCCAATGCTATACTCTCAAATATATATTATATATTTATATGTTACTCTCCAATACTATCTCTCTAATATCATCTCTCAAATATTTTACTCTCCTATTAATATCTCTCAAATATTATCTCTCAAATATTTTATCTGAAATATGTGTTCTCTCCAATATTGTTAGAATAGTTTTAGCTCCAATGTTGTTTCTGCATCCAAGGGACCCAGGAGAAGTTGTTGCCTGACAGCACTCCCAAGCAGCTTGTGCGCCCTCCATGCAGTGGCCATTGAGGCTAG